GATAGTTGTATAAGGCTCGAGGGAGACCTTAGAGCAGCTCCAGTGCATAAAGGGGCTCCAGGAAACCTGGAGAGGGGCTTTGGACAAGGGATGTAGGGACAGGACAAGGGGAATGGCTTGAACCTGCCAGGAGGGAGATTGAGATGTGCTCTGAGGCAGAAGGTCTTCCCTTGGAGGGTGCTGAGGTGCTGGCACAGGGTGCCCAGAGAAGCTGTGGCTGCCCCATCCCTGGCAGTGTTCAAGGCCAGGTTGGACACAGGGGCTTGGAGCAACCTGCTCTAGTGGAAGGTGTCCCTGCCCGTGGCAGGAGGTTGGAGCTGGAGGAGCTTTAAGGGAGATTGAGATGTGCTCTGAGGCAGAAGGTCTTCCCTTGGAGGGTGCTGAGGTGCTGGCACAGGGTGCCCAGAGAAGCTGTGGCTGCCCCATCCCTGGCAGTGTTCAAGGCCAGGTTGGACACAGGGGCTTGGAGCAACCTGCTCTAGTGGAAGGTGTCCCTGCCCGTGGCAGGAGGTTGGAGCTGGAGGAGCTTTAAGGTCCCTTCCAACACAAACCATGCATCTGTGGTAATTCTGGGGTCAGGGGAAGCCCCATCCCCACCCTGAAGCTCGACTGGCACCCAGGTCACATTGCCATTCAGTTAGTATCACCTCCAGCCTCTTTTCTCCCCTACATAGGGCAGCGGATGAATGGTAGCTGGGGCTGCAGTCAGAGGACTGGGGGCTCCATTTACCCTGCTGACTCCTCTCCTCTCTCCTGGCAGGGGGAAGAAGGACAGATCGGCCCAGTGGGGCTGAACAGCAGTGAGGGACCCAAGGTCAGTGTTCACTGTGGCCCCTGGTTCTTATGGGCTGTGCTCATCCTTGTGCGCAGGACAGGGATGAGGCGACCCTGCCCATCAGCTCCAACATGTGTCCCTCCAGCCAGGGGACAGCATCATGATCGAGCCTCTTGGCACCCTCCACCCCATGCACTGCACCCCTGCACCCACAACAGCCATGCACTGACCTGCCAAGGTGGATGGATGGATCCCTTTGGTGCTCACCATGGTGAAGACACTGGAGGAGACCTGCAGCATTGCCTAAAATGACTTGTATATCCCTCGGTGTGAATTTTAGGGAAGCCAAGGACCTGACGGCCCGAGGGGACACCCAGGACCACGAGGAGCCCGGGTAACTAATGGGGTGCTGGCACTTGTAACTGCATCTTGGAGCATCTTTGACTGTGGGAGACTGAAACCGCTTCAGAGACCCCTCACTGGGTGGCTTGTGCTGTGCTGGGGCTGAGCCACAATGTCTCCAGGCACCAGTTTTGCCCCAAATCTGCAGGCTTATTACTGGTAGAAGATGGTTTTCTGAACACTCCTGTTTTCCAGGGCCGTGTGGGTCAGCGTGGGCTGGTCGGAGTCCCAGGGCTGCCTGTAAGTAGGAGATGACCCATGTCCCTGTGGTGCCATCAGCACTCAGATAGGGAAGCTGGTTCTTGGGAAGCAGCATCCTGGGATGTGGCTGGCTCGGAGGCTCTGGCTCTGCTTGGGAATTCACACAGATAAGTTGGGGACAAGCAGCTTTTGCAGCCTGCATGGAGTGTTCTGACACACTACAACTTGCCTCTTAACACCCAGCATAGGAAATGCAGGAAATAACAGCTTTTAAAGCAAACTCTGTTATTCAGGGTCGTGTCTGGTGAAGGCATAAATAGCTGGGGCAAGAGAGGGAAAACAAGGTCGAGGTGGTGGTGGTGGGAACGGGTTTCATCCCACGCTCGTGTTGTTTCCCAGTGATAGCATCCAAAGGTGGGATGGAGCAGGGAGCAGCTGCCTGGGGATGAGCTGTACATTAATGAACCCATGGCTTAGTACAGACCAGCACCCTGGGGACCATTCCACTGCTGATGTGCCACCTTTCAATAATGGAGGGAGGTTCTGGGGCTGGCTGAATCCTCGATAGGGCCACCCTGCCACGGGCTCTGCTTTCCTGAGGTGAGATTCTCATTCCAGGGCTTGCAGGGCATCCTGGGAGCAGAAGGCACAGAAGGAAAGCCTGGTACACAGGTTCCCATCTTACACTCTGTACTTGACAAGGGTTGTATCTGGGGGGGAGCTGAGTCCAGTGGGGGTGAGGGGGGACATCCCAACCCCATCATCCCCATGGCCTTATGGGTCAAGACCTTGACACTGTGTTGGACCTTGCCATGATGTGCATCAGCTGGCTCTGGGTTGATGTGGTGGGACTGGGAGAGGCTGCTTCTGGCTCCCCATCCTCATCATCACCTGCTTGTCCTGCAGGGTCACCCAGGGAGCACGGGCAGTGCGGGCAGGAGGGGAGCACTGGTGAGTAGAGCTGCATGTAACCTCTTCCCTCTGCTCAGCTCTGTCTCCTTGGGATGTGTCTCAAAAGCATGTCCATGGGATGGAGGGCAAGAGGTGGTTGGCCCTGATGGAGCAAGACCAGCCATAAGGTGCTCCTTTGGGGCAGAGACCTGATGAGAATAGTGCTAAGGGGTGAAGGGGAAGGAATGGGCCATTGAAAAATGAATTCTCATCCCTGGTGCTGCTGTCCAAAGCAGGCCCAGCAGAAAGCCTGGGCTGGTGGCAAGTTCTCCCTTCTGTGGGATTTTTAGTGTCTGTTAATCTTTGTTGTGAAATGCAAAAGGAAATAAACCCTGCACTTCCCTCTCCAGTTTGGGTTGGTGTTGGACCATGCCAGGAGAGAGCACCTCCAACCCTCCTGCTTTCCCTGCATCACCCATCTTCTGTCCTTTCCTGCAGGGTTCTGCTGGCTTTCAGGGGCCCCACGGGCATGCAGGTCCTCCTGGATCCATAGTAAGGACACAATAATGTTCCTTCTGCACGAACTCTGCATTTTCTTAGGTGGGAAGTCAATAGGGCTGGTGCCACTGGTGGGGGATATGAGACTTTCCCACCTTGGGAATGAGCAGGGAATCAGGGCATCTGGAGGAGCGAGTCTTAACTTCTTGTTAAAACACATTCAAAAGCCTCAATGGCAGAAATAGCTGGGACACTTCCCAAGGGATTCAGCCCACCAGAGGGACTTTGCAGCTTCCCAGGATCTCCATGGGGAATGGCAGCCCCTGGAAACCCTTCGCACATGGGTGGCTGAAAAACAGCATGGTCCTGGGAGGGGATCAAAGCTTTCTCCATCCCAAGTGGAAATGGTGGTACAGGTTCAGGGAAGACAGTCCCATGTCCCTGCCCACCATGTTGGAGACCCAGAGCAGCTCCTGCAGCGGGAAGAGCTTCTCCCTTAAAGCCTGCTCTCGGCTGGGCTTCGCTATGATCACTATGTCACCTTCCCTAGTGACAACCTCATCAGAGAGCCAGCCATGGGGTGCTGGTGTGCAGGAACCACCAGGACAGGCCATGGTGGCAGAGTTTGTTCCCACCAACCCAGTTTGGATCAAGTGATGCCCATCCCTGAGCACAGAGTCAGCAGTGGTGGCTTGGTGGGGCTGGTCTCATCTCAGCACCTCCATGACACCTCCTTCTCAAATATTTCCAAAGGGGTCTCTGGGAAAACCTGGACCTGATGGAGACCCGGGTTCCTTGGGCCCAAAGGTGAGAGCTGGCACTGGCTGGAGCAGTGATGGTGATGAACAGCCCTGAGAGGCTCTTGGCTGCCATGAGGGCACGTGGAGGAGGACCTTGGGAGTTCAAATGTGAACACCAAGGATGAGAAGTTGCCCCGGGAGCAGAGGTTTGTTGATGCCTCATCTTGTCTCGCAGGGGCTGCCTGGGAAGCCTGGCTCGGAGGGGCCACAAGGACCTGTTGGCACCTATGTAAGTGACAGCACCCGGCAGCAGCAGGGTTGGGGAGAGGCTCCCAAAGCTCCTGCAGTGTTGGGGTCCTGCCTTTCCCTGGGCAAGAGCTCAGCCTCAGCATCCTCCTTCTCCCAATCCCCTGGAGGTGCTGCTTCCTAACACCACGCTCTCCCCAGGGCTACCCAGGACCTGATGGTGACCGTGGGAGGCCAGGGCGCAGGGGGGACAAGGTAGGGCTGGGAGACCCAGCACAGCAGTGGGGGGATGTGCTGGGGTGGCAGTTCAGGCTTTGGAAACATCTCTGGGTTGGGCTGTTGAACCCAATGGATGGGTTTGGTGGTATCTCCATCAGCTGAGCCAGAGAGGTGGCAGCGGTGACAGGAGAATGGCTGGAGCTGGCTCTAATGTTGGGTGAACTGGTGGATCTCCAGCACTTCATCTGCCCAAATCCTGTGGCTTGTTATGAGGTGCCAGGCAGATTTTTGGGGTTGGTTTGGGGTATGTGGGGTTTTTCTTTAAGTGGTTACAGCACTAAAACACAGGGAGCAAAGGAAATCTCTTGTCTCCTCACAGGGAGAAAAGGGAGCCCAAGGCCCACCAGGATTCCCAGGAAAAGCTGGCCCTAAGGTGAGTGCTGATGCTGCTACCCTGGTTAACTCCATCCCCCTGGAGAAGCACCGAGCAAGTCACCTATGCTGGGCTGAGGATGTGAAATCTTTGCCATAGGCATCAATGGGCTGCACGCGGGGAGAGGGGAGCAGTCAGGGATGTGTGTGGGGCTCTGATGACACTTTCCTCCCCAGGCCCTGCCAGGTTCCCCTGGTCTACGAGGTGCTCCTGGCTCTCAGGTAGGGCTCCCTGTGCTTCCCAGGCCTGTCTTGCTCCTCTCACTCTGCTGCAGTGCCCTGCAGATGGGCAACACTCTGCAATACACACCATGTCCTACCTATAGCATTGGCAGCATGGATCCTGGAACCCTTTGCCAAGACCCTGGTCCTGCTTCTTGCTGGCTGGGTTTATCCTGATGCTGCACAGGCACCATTGCGGTGGCCCGGGCACATATGGATGGTCCAAGGACACCCAGCTTGGGGTCCCCTGTGTCTCTTTGCCATGACCATGCTGCTGAGCACCCTTCTCGTTTCAGGGCAGAAGGGGAGACCCAGGTCCCCGCGGACTTCCAGGGCTGCCTGTAAGTGGGAAAGCTGTAGGTGCAGAGATGCTCTGTAGGCTGAAGTTGGGTGGGATGAAAGATAGGTGTCCCCTCTGGAGGCAGCTTCATCCGCAGGCTGGTTGTGGGACAGAGAATGGCCCTGCATCGGGTAGCTGGGTGGTGACAAGCCAGTGATGGGGACAGCCGTGCCCTCCTGCACCCCCAGTGATGAGGCACCAGTAGCCACCACATGTAGGTGGTACCTTGCAGACCTCATGGTGGCCCAATTGCTTTGGGCATGTGGCTCCCATTGACACTGCCCTCCTTGCATCCTGTGCTGTGTTTTGGGTGCCTAAGTGGCCTTTTGGCCTTGCAGG